ATTCCAGCAAAGCTTTGGTTTTTCCTTTGATTTTTGGAGGTTAAATTACATAGGTAAAGACATTCTGACGTATGGCTAGGCTCTAGACGAAGAACAGTGCCCCAACTGTGAAAACTAGATTTTCCTGAAGAATTTGAAGAGAAGCCGCATTGTACGGTGTGGGGTTGAAGCAAAGTGTCCTAATCTTGGAGGCGAAACCCTGGGTTGAGGGCATGATCAATTTAGAGAGAGAAAGTGCAGCTCCAAGAATATATGTGTTTAGCGAGATGGAAGCAGAAGCTGTAACTTGATGAGAGAGAAAAACCCTAGTTTCAGGCGTCCATCCAAACTTTATCACAAGATACAATTTTTGTATCAACAATCTTTTGGATGACCATTTGGGGCTGAATCTGTAGGTGGTTCTGCTAAATTAAGCAGAGGCTTTGAGAGGGGAAGTTTCAGGCTTGAAAGAGATGGGTTTCAGGAGGACCATTTCGGCTGCCATTTTTTTGGAATTCGATTTTGGGGGAGGAAAGTTTTTTCCTGATTTTTTGGGGTGAGGAAGTTTTAGCAAAGGATTTGGAGGAGGTTTTACGGACGTTTTGGAGGGCCCTCTCTCTATTTTCTTCTTTAGAATGAGAAGGGAGTGATTGGAAATCTTGTAGCTTTAATGGGGAGAGAGATGCAGAGGAGGGAGGTGAAGATGTTGTGGTCACTATTAGGTATGATCTGTCAGGAGGACTTCTGTCAGGTGCGAAGTTCCCCGTGGTGGGTTATTTCTCTCCCCAAACAACTAACATTTTTGGGCTTTCAGATTGGGCTAAAAGAAGTTGGAGCCTGACTTATGCTTCAAAGGTTAAAATAATTGGGGATAATAAGATCATCTTCTTTCTTCGTACTAAGGAAGACTCGATGATGGCAATGACGAACCGTTATGTTCGTATTAGGGGGAAGCTTCTGTCCCTTGACCTTTGGAAACCATATTCCCATCTCTTTTATTTATAGAAAGGAAGTATGTGGATCACGTTATTAGGTGCCTTTCATGTTTAGTCGTTGTTTACTTTCGTAAATTGGCTAACAAGTATGGGGAGTTCTGTGATGTTGATAAGGCAGCTTTTGGTGGGGTTGATTTTGCGATTTGTTAGGATTCATAGCTGAAAACTATGTGGGGCCCTCTTTCCTAAGAAGCTGACTCTTTAGGTGGATAAAGAATTTTTTTCCATAGCTGTATTGCAAGAAACAAAGGACAGAAACACTGACCTTCCTGGCTTGCAGAAGGTTACCAATGAAATGGTGGAAAAAAGTGGAAAAAATGGTTGGCAGGAGGTGGTTCGATGTCTTAAACCTCTGCCGGTACATGTAAATTCCAGCCACTTGCAGCTAGATTGCTATCGGAATTTTAGGGCAGGGAAGAGGAAGTTTCAAAATTTGAAAATCCGCAAGCGTTGGATTCCAGTTGGACGTTTTGCCAATTTACCGGCGGCTTCCTCGTCGAGCGTTACAGATTGCGTTGAAGGTCCACGTGAGGTCTCAGTTTGTGCGGGACCATCAAAATTGGGATTGTGTCAAGCCAAAAGTATGGTAGGAATATCTCTGAGCCAAGGTTTTGAGGCACAGTTTTCGGGAGTTGTGCTGACGACGGATGGAGGAAACATCGTAACACAAGCCTATCCGCAGGCACGCTCAAAAGTGAGTTTAAGGCGTTGGAAAGAGCCTCCGTTAGGGTTAAGGTTCTTGTTCTTTTGCTTGCGGGTATTCGTCTTAGGTGGACAACTGCCCTTCAAGTTGTGCTTGCCAGTTTGGCAACTATGTATCCACTGTGGCACCGCCGAGCAGCCAGAAAAAACCGTGTTTCCCAAAGGCAGGCTTTTGATCTTTTGGTTGTTAATTTGCTGCCATTGGTGGTGATAGAGGAAGGTGCTAAAGCCCATGGCAATGGTGGAAGAGGAAGTGCTGGAACCTTCCACAATGGCTTTGCTAGAGGAAGGACCACCTATGCAAGAAGCAAAGCAAGCGATGGTGGCGATAGTGGAAGTCGAAGCAACTACCCCCCTCTTTATGGTTCGTGAGGAACAAGCGCTGCTTCTGCACTTGACAACGGTGCCATCTGGGGATGCAACTCAGGTCTCTTCTGAGGTGATGACTCTGAGTGATCATGTTGTGGCTACAGGTGGCCCGTTGGTGTGCAACAATCTGGCCAGAGTGCTCAGGCAGAGGCTATTATTGGCTAGATAGTGGAGTGGATTTTGATCTGCCAATCAGGGTGGTTTTTAAAGAAATCGTTGAGAAGCTCAGGGCTGAAAAAATAAGAGTCTCTAATGCAAGGAAGAAGATACCTGAAATGGAGAAGAATGGTGGAGATGGTGGTGAGAGTACTCCTGTTAAGGAAGTGGCCAAAAAGAAAAAAGAAAGGCAAAAGCCCAATGAAGGGCACTAGATCATCTGTTCGGCTGATGGTTCGTGGTCGGCGACCTGGTACTGCTGCTGGTATTGTCATTCGAGATGAACAAGCTGTTGAAATCCCCTCTTCACCATCATCTATGGAAGTAGCTTTTGATGAGACCATGGAGGAGGCGTTGATGCTAAAAGAGGTCTATTTTGCGTCTAGGGAGGATGGTTTAGGTTCTTCCTTTCCTAAATTTTCTTAATGCTTATACTTTCTTGGAACATAAGAGGTCTGGGTGACCTCAGACGGAAAAACGATGTTCAATTTTTTGTTAGTAAGTATAAACTTACTGCTCTTGTCTTGTAGGAAACCAAACTCCCCAGTTCTAGTCTATCTGGCGTGAGGGATGTTTGGGGTCCTGGAGCAGTAGATTTTGTGGGTATTGACTCAATTGGTCTATCTGGTGCTATTTGGATTTTGTGGGACCTTTATGTTTTGCTTTCTTTTTGTGTAGTTAAAAAATACTATTTTGTGCTTGTTGGTTTTGTGGGTATTGAAGCGTATTTTCAATGGGGTATTATGAATGTGTATGGTCCCCATGTTGTTGCTCAGAAAGAAAGTTTTATCTCAGATAGGACTGAAGTGATTTCTCAGTTTGACTTTCCGATCTATATTGGGGGGGATTTTAATTTTACTAGATGGCCGGAAGAGTGCTATTTTGGTGGGGTGATTACTTTGGCCATGCGTCTCTACAATAGATTCATAGAAACCCATGCTCTTATAGATTTACCCATGCAAATGCAAATTTTACTTGGACCAATGAGAGTATTTCTAATATGTTAATGTCCAAGATTTATATGTTCCTGGTGTCTACCGAGTGGTCTGAAACCTTTCCTTTATCATCTGTTAAAGCCCTCCGTAGACTTTCATTGGATCATATTCCTATTTTGTTAACTCTAAGCTTTGGTCGGGGGGCTCAAAACTTTTTAGATTTGAAATTGGGCAGTTATAGTAGAAGGAGGTTCTTGACCTTATCAAAAGTAGCTGGGAGAATTCTATCTTCGTTGGGTCTCTAGACTTCTAAATCCATAAGAAGCTCATGAATATTAAATATAAACTTATGGATTGGAAAAGAAAAAAGTACTTTTTTGTTAAAAAGAAAATTGAACAAGTGTTGAAAAATCATGTGGAATATCAATCTTCCATATAACAGAATCCCTGACTCTATTTTCTTTGAACTCTGTAGACTACTAAGGTTATTGGAGGAGGTCTATATTCCTCAAAATGCTGATGAGGAGGTAGTTTGGGAGATTGATAAAAATGTAATATATTCAGTGAAGTCTATGTATTAGTTGCTCTTCCATGATAGATGGAAATAGTCTAGGCTCGAAATAGCCATCACTTGGAAACGACTTCTACCTTTCAAAGTGTAAAGTTTTTATGGCTGGCGGTTCAAAATAAAGTTTTAACGGTAGATAATCTCATCAAGAGAGGAAAAATATTACTAAATATTTGCTTAATGTGTAAGGAGGATGGAGAATCTAGTGATCATCTTTTTCTCTATTGTCCTTATTCTCTTTGTATTTGGAGTTGGTTCTTTGTACAACTTGGGATTGCTTTTATAATGCCGCCTTCAGTTGCTGGAATTTTACAAAATCTGACATTTGATTTACCACAGACTGGGATTATTATTTAGCAAATTACTAGAGGCATCATTTTATGGGAAATCTGAAAAGAGAGAAACGTGAGAGTTTTTTATGGGAGGAGTATGCCTTTTGAGAAAATCTTGGATAAGATCTTGTATTCAATATGGCTATATCTTTCGGTTACTATAGTTGACTAGGATATATCAAAAGTGGATGTTAGGAGAAATTTAATTAATCTTTTCCACATAGGTTTCTTAAAGTGCAGACCTAAAGAAAGATGGGTGGCCCTGGCCTTTGGGATCTACAAGCTTAATTTTGACGGTAGTTCGTTTGAGAATCTGGGTCAAGCTGGTTTTGGCGGTGTACTAGGGATTGCCGTCGGAATGTTATATTTACGTATACAAGTCCACTTAGGATATGTACAACTAATTTTGCAGAACTTTATATTCTTTTTTACGGCTTGCGCATCTTTGTGGTGAGAAATTTGAGGTGGTATTGCATCCTTGAAGGGGATTATCTGAATGTCATTAGGTGGTGTGAGGGGGAACAAAAGGGAGTTCAAATCTTTGCTACTACAAATTTTGGACTTTTGTTCTATCTCTTCTTTCTCCTTTGGTCATATATATAGGGAGGCCAATGTCTCGGTTGACTCTTTTACCAAATGAGGCTCCTTCCATTCTGAAACTATTGTTTATGATTTTGTAATATCTTTCTAGCTTAATACAATTTCGAAACTTTTATAAAAAAAAAAAAAAAAGAGTAGCATCCTTATATAAACTTTTTCCTTTAAATAAATATATATATAAAATATTAACCGGTTGATATGTCATGTGTATTTTGATTAATTTATCTTAAAAAAAATGATTATCTTAGGAATCAATCCAAGGAGCCCACTTTCTAAAGGCCAATCCTGAAATTTATTTGTAGAGTCGCATGCACTTTCATATATGAACCCCACCACCAACTATGGGCTGCATCCCAGTGGATGTGAAAAGTTCCATCAAATTTAATTTTATAGAAGTATTTGGAGTCCGCCCGGTACTAACCAGAAGCTTGCGCCGCAGTAGTTTCAGCACCGCCCAAATTCACCCGAATTCAAAACCCTTCTGTTTACTGTAAAAGTCAGGGTTAGGGTTCTTTAACTTTCAGCACTGAGATTAGGGTTTTTCTGCCTGCATTCTCTGTAATTTGGGGTTCACTCGCTGCACTAAAGGAGCGAGTGTATGCAGAGGAGAGTGGCTTTAGTGTTGCAGGGTTTAGTTTTGAGTATAGAGGTTTTCTCAAGTTCTGGCTAAAGGGTTCAGTAGTGACTTATGGGAAATTAGGGTTTTTGAGTTCAAGTTATGGAGCATTTGGGAGCAGGGATGAGTTGACTGATGTACAATTTGTGAAAGATTTGCTTCCGTTGTTGGGTTTGAATTGTGTTTCTGCTCTGATTGAAATGCTGATTTTTTCCATTTTTCACTGCAAATTATGGTAGTCTCAATCTAAACATGTAGAAGGATTGCCACTGTATCAGCTCGAATGCTAGGGTTTCCATTTTTGTGGTTGAAACTCTGGCATTTTTCATGCTATCAACTGGAAGTTAGGGTATCTTGACTTCGTAGATGGAATGCAGCATTTAATGGTGGATATCAACGTAATGTTGCTGAGCGATGTCCATATCATTTCCAAAATTGGAATCTTCATTGCTCTGACCGAGTAGTTGGGCTTTATGTTTTCACAAATATTTAGGGTTTCAGCACTCTATTGATGGAGCAGGTTGAGACTGACATCAATAGAGTACTACAGGATCATCATAAGATCAGTTCAAATGTGAGAAGTGAAGAGGCAAAGATAGATAGGTTAAGCAGAGAAATCAAGGATTTGGAAGAGAGAGTGAGAATTGGCGAATCAAGCGAGCTTGATAGGCAAAGGATGCATAATTTACTGAATTATCAGTCCACTCTTATTATGCGAGCATCATCACGAACACAGCTCCTTCGTGCACTCCATGAAGACCTTCTTGTGCTCTTTACCAGGAGGAAGCAACTTCGACAAACTGGTATACTGATGTGGATTTTGTTTGTTTATTTTTTATTTATTTGGATTTGTGTATTCGATTAAGTAGTTCCATGACAATAGCAATTATGCTTAATTTTTACAATTTAAGTTATTCTCTTTAATTTTTTACAGTTGCTTGTTGGGTTTGTCAATCAGTTTTGTAATACAGTAGCTTGATACTTTTGTTTCTCTTTCTGAATATCTTACTCTTAGTCTTTTTAGAGTCATTTGAAAAGTTCAATTAACTACAGAAGGAATTGATGTTTTAGTATGCTATAAACTTATTTATTCTTCAGCACCATGTTCATCCTGAAAAAGGGCTTATTCTAACTGTAAGAGAAAGGCTCAATGTCCCAAATTATCATCACCATCATCATTCCAGCCTTATCCCAACTATTTGAGGTCAGCTATGAATCTTGTTCCTGCTTAACCGGTGTTGTTCTAGGTTGATGCTGCACATGATCAGACTACCAAAGTCTACTTTCCCTCGTCTTATTGCCTATTGGAGCTATCCCTAAGTTCCAACAGATGTATTCATTCAGAATTCTGTCATTTCTTGCCTTGCCACTCATCCATCTCACCATTCTCATCTCAACTATACTCATTCTATGGTTATGTTGTTTTTTGACTGCACAACATTCTGTCTCATAAAGTATGACTGGTCTTACAGCCGTCCTATAGAACTTCCACTCCAGTTTCATTGGTATATGACAATCACATAAGAATCTGGAAGCGCATCTCCCTTTAGTCCACCCACCTCTAATTCTATGCGCGACAACTTCTTCAGTCTCTCAATTCTCATGGATTATCGACTCAAGATATCGAAAATAATCCTACGTACTTCTTGATGTCTCAACTTGTCAAAAGGCCCAAAAAAAGGTCCCCCTGATAGTGGAAGCAATTGTATTTGTTTTCCCAAGAATGTCTATTATCCCATGGTAATGGAATAGAATCTGGTCTTGGAAAATGCAACTGTTAGAGTAGGGGGTTTATCATATTAGGAGGTGGCCATTTGGTTTGCAAGCCAAAACGAGTAAGGGAGATGGTGAAGCAATGGAAAGGAATGTTTGTAAAAAAGTTAAAGCAAATGACTTTATCCTTCTTGTTGCAACCTGATGCATACTGTAGGGTAGGAGGGTTGAGAAGCACTCAATTGCAGAATGAGGAATCCCAAATACTGGATCCCAATAAGGTTGTGTACCTAACTAATACAAAATAGGCGCGTAGAAAAATTGGACAAGTGCGATTAATAAAGCAAAAGTACACCGCAAGATTTCAAGATTTACATGGTTCCCCCTAAAGGGGCTGTTTTATTGTTTCGGGTAACATATGGTATACCTCTCTCCAAACCTTGGTAGAATCCTCTCCGATTTCCCCTTCTAAACACATTGACCCCATCCAACAACATCGCCAATCAATCTTCGTCTTTTCCATTGTTACCTAGAGAACTTTGAGAGCAATTGATGCTCTCTCTCTAGAAAAAGGAAATTAGGCAAACTCAAAACCCATGGCAAAGGAAAACTACCTCCCTCTCTTTTTCTTTTTTTGTAATTAAACTACCTCCCTCTCGTAGATGCCATGTTTCTTTGTAAAAGATTTCCTTTCTCTCTCACTTGGAAGCCCAACCACTCTCTTTCTTCTTTCTCTCTCTCTAAAAGCCAAATTCCATGACCCATAATAGAGTAACCACAAAAGGATGTGTATTACCTTTCTTTGATCCCCCCATATATAGAGAGAGCATCACGAGGTTGTTTGACAACTAGAAATTTGTTTGCCAAAGGGAGAAGTTACTTGAAGGCTGTAGCAATTCCTAGTTTGGCAACCACAAATACTATTATTAAAATGAGGAGTTAGAAGCCTACGTTTTTAAAATATGAGAAATTTTGTCTTCCACCCCTCCCATGGAAAGTAAATTTCTCAAAAAATGAGAAAAGACAACTTCCTCATTTTATGGAACATTTGGTCATTTTGAAAACATTGGATCTATCTTCATCCAATTTTTGTTTTTTCCAAAATCGGATCGAGTGGAATTCGGAAAGTGTGTGCATCTCATTGAGGCACATTAAATAATTAAACAAAATAAAATGTCCGACCTTTACAATTTCAAGGGTGTTTTGGTCATTTTAATTTTTTAGAAATACGTATATATACTTTTTAGCAGGTGGACTAGCGTGAGAAGTACAAAAGCGTAAAATTTTAGCCCAGTCCAAATTATGGGATGTAAAATAAAATTGAGATACTCACCATGCTCTTTAACTCTCCAATCAAGATCCAACGATTGAGATTCATGGTGTTTGATCAATAGTGTTGCAGGTGAACTATATTTTTTGAACATGTGTTGTAGGTGAACTATAATTTAGACTATTTGGTCATTTTGAAAATTTTAGTCCTATCTTCATCCATTTTTAACTTTTTTTCCAAGATCATATCAAGATATGCACTCCTCATTGAGGTGCACTGGTAAAAAGTATTTAAAAAATATTTCAACAAAATAAAGACCAAAATGCCTCTCAAAGTTTCAGGGTCGGTCCGGTCATTTATTTTTTGAAATATTTTTTTTAGATTTTTTAAAGGTGCGTGAGGGTAAGAACTATAATCGTTTAAAATTTTAGCTGAATTTGATACATAAGAAAATAAAATTACAATACTCATACATGCTCTCAACCGTCTAATCAAGTTTCGATGGTTTAGATAGAGTCTATCCATTTTGTTCGTATTGTGGATGAGCTACGGCCTCTAATCAATAAAAAGTTCAGAATATTCCAGGTTAAACTAAACACAATTTTTCAGAATCCCTAGAATTCCAGACAGTTTAACCAAATATAGTATTTTCCACTACCAGGTACTCAAATTTCTAGAGTCCAGATTCAGACTTTGAGACTGCTTATTCACTTATAAATTATAAAAAATATAGAAGCATAAGAAATTCATTTTTTGGAAGGGTAACCAAGAGAAACGTATTCCTTGAGAAACCAAGCTTATTGTGGTTCTATCCCCTTGGCTTAGGTTTGTTTGGTTTCGGCCTTGATGGATATGCCTTTTCCACAAAATGCCTTGCCCGCATCTCCTACATTTTGAGCGGGCTGTCCTATTGACCCCTTCTTTTAACATACTATAAAACACTGTTTGTTTGCCGCATTTACATTACGTGGGGGGGGGGGGGGGTTATTTGGAACTCCCAAAGAGGGGAGCACATGGGAGCCTTGACCGACTACAGAATATAAGGTATTATGCCCTGTAGTGGTTTCAAAGCCTTTGCAAACTTACTACTACGGTCAGTGTTTTAAAAAATGGCCCAAGCTCAGCGTCTAGGTGCCCAAGGGGCCCAGGCTGCCTCGCCTAGGCTTGGGAGGGCGTATACAAGCGCCAGATCCTGGGCGGGTGCCCAATGCCCAGTCCTGGGAGGGTGCCCAGGAACTGAGCCCCATTTCAGCTGGAAACGATAGCCCTTGTAGGGAAATTTGGGGCTTTTTGACCCATCAAACTGGGGAAAAAGGTTGTGTTCTAAGCCCCCCTACGTGGAAAAAAAATTCAATCCTAAGTAAAATCAACCAAAATTGTTGCTTTTGCAGGTCTCTTTGAATCGAGAAAAATTGTAAAATTTGAATAATCATCCCAAAGCTTGGCCAATCTTATTGGAATTATTTTTAGGGTGCTAGTGAGGGTACTAGTAGACTTTTTGATGAAAAACCTAAACAATAATCTCCTCTTTCTTTTCTTTTGAATTCCATTTTATCTTTTATATTGCATCATTTTGTATTGGGCTTATTGGAGACTTGGAGTCTATTTGTATGATGATTGTATGTCATTATGGAGTTTAAAGCTTTGGAGACTAACACGAATAAGGACTGTTTATGTTTTTCACTAATTTTTCAATGATTTGAAGTTTTGAACACGTTTCAACATTCATGCACATAAATTTGCATAAAATATTAGTTAGAATACACATAAATGCAAGAAAATACAAAATTAACACAAATATCTACATATATGTGCATTTGGACTGCACATGTGCATATTTCTGAAATTCTTTCACCTCAGGGTGCCTGAGGTTCTGGTCGCCCACCTAGGTGCCGGGTGCCTTACGCCTGGCCAGCTCCCCAGGGGCTGCCTAGTGTTTTTTGAAACTATGAGTACAGTAAAATTGGTATTCTAGCTGATATCTTGGTATTCTGTTCCAAGAGTGACTTAGATGGTGAAGATTAAAGATCTTGCCAATACTATCCCTCTGGGCACCCTAATAGATCACATGTATTATTTGAATTATTTAGAATTCTTCTGTGTCTAAGTACATATTTATCTCTAATTCTCTATTTAACTTCCAAAAGTCAGAGATATCCTCTATTACACCCAAAAATATTTTGGAAATGTATCAGGTTAGGCAAGTATGGAAACGGAAGAGGCGAATATAGCTTTTTGTGCCTGTTGATTTTTCCATTCTTTGTTTCTACTTACTAGGTTTTCTCTATAACTGCATTTGATGTTTCTTTTTTGGTTCAGTATGAAAGGATTTTTGACCACTCACTGCTACTAGATTTCTGTGTACTTAATGATGTATTTCCTTCTTAGCAATTAAAGAAATTAATCAAGCAGTTTTACTGATTAAAGGCAAATCGCTAAAACTGTCAATTGTTGACTTTGTAAAGCTATTAGTAGCAGCTAATGTTGATTGGTGTTTGGCTTTCCATATCCTCAAACTGACTTGCATCTTTTAATCAGATACTACAGGTGGGTCTTCTGTTGATGCAATGCCTAATGTTTCTCTCAGCTCTGGGTTATCAAGTGGAGATGATGATAATCAAGAGTTCCCTAGCGACTGTTCATTGCCTGTGTCATTGGATATTTTGAGAATGAATGATGATCACAATGAAAACTTGGATGAAGTGACCACTGAGCAGGAGCAACTACCGCTAAGTTTGAAAATGCTTCAAATTAATATGAATGAGGATGCATGCTTGACTCAAGATGATGGCGGTGCGTATGGGGATCTCCAATATAAGAATAATATCCTTGATAACATTGCAATGAGCATTTTAGATCCAAATACCAATGTTGATAACATTTTTAAAGAAGCAATGGAAAATTCCGAGTTCCCCTGTGAGGATAGTGAAGGTAATTATGTTTCTAAATGCACCTGGTGTCTTCAAAGTTAACTGCTTTACCTGCTTTCTGCTTGTTAATTTTGGTGCTTATTAACCTGTTCCACATCCTTAGAATTGGGCTTCTACAGTATGGTAAGGTTTTTGATGCATTGTTGTCAAACACTATTTCAGGTTCAAAAAAGGTATCTAGGAGAACGGGGAAAGTAACTTACCGTAATTTACCAAGGCGTTTGACTGTGGACTTTGACGAAAGCGGCAATCCTACCGGCCCAAATGCTGGGGGCTTTAAAAGATCAATTAATTCATATGTCTGCCATTTTTTGCCTGTCAACTTTAAGCAAATTGGTGATGTTCCTGTTGAAGATTACAAGGCAGTTCTGAATGTGTTGACGGTATGTAACTTGCATGTTGGTGCTATGTAACATGGAAAGCTCTAATGTGATAATAATATTTTCTGATACAATTGTCTTTACTTTTATCTTGTCCAGGAAAGATATAATTTTGACCTTAATCGGAGCTATACGCGCAAAAAAATCTCATCTTGTTATCGACAACACAAGTACAAGCTATTGGTCCAGGTCAAGAAAGACTTTGATAGAGGTGTTGAGCCACAAAAACCATCCTATGTTAAACAAGAGGACTGGGATGCATTTGTGGCTAAGACCAAAGATGAAGAATTTGATGTGAGTAATCTTATATACATATAGAACAATAATATATGCAGAAGAATATATAGTTTTGTTAAACATTTGTTTTGGGAAGAAAACTTCTGTTTTGCATGACTTGCTCTACGTATACTACAGAGGATCAGTAAGAAGAATAAAGCCAGCAGGAGTCAACAGAGTTCTCTTAACCGCAAGGGTCTCTTGGGTGCCTCTGTCCATAAAAGGAAGCTGGTGAGAACATAGCCCTACCAGCTGGATTGAAATCTGTAGTTATTTCATGATTAGTTTCTTAATACGTGTGGTTCTTGAATGTGACTGTGGACTGCAGAAAGGATCAGACCAAAGTGATATGGTGGATATTATGTGGTCAAAGGTACACAAGCCCAAGCGAGGTGTGTTATTTTTTTTATTTTTTTATTTTGGGTAAGTCAGTGGGGATTTGGGCCCCTACCCGTTTTTCATTAATAAATAAGAATAGTACAAAAGGATAAAGAGAGGTGTGTTATATTTCTCCCTTCAAATAGTTGTATTGGCTTAGTTTTTCATTTACTTGTTCTCCAAAGATCTTTTCCCCTTCCTAACTTTATTCAAAGTGTAGTTAGGGAGGGGTTGGATGTGTTAAAATCAGCTATTTTGAGTAGAATAATTTCTTACTGCATGAAGCCAGCCATTTATAGCTTTAACTCCCTGCTTAGAGTTTTGGCTATAATACTATGTGGTTATTTATGAACGGGCAATTTTTATTGGTGGTCATGGCAAGTTTCTCTTAGAGTACTAATTTTCGAGAAAAACGTTTCTATTGGGTTACTAGATTCCTGCTGAATATGGGATGTAGAGACTGTGGAAATGGAACAATGTGGGTCATTTTTCAGTCAAATCCGTTTTGAAATTTATGCTCTATGTCTTCTTGTTTGGATGGCCGTCCGCTCAAGATAATGTTCTCACCATATTCCATCTCTAAAGATGTGAATGCTAGCTCCCTATGTTGTCTTCACATGCACTTTGTTGCTATTTCTCATGGGATATGTGTTCGTATGCAAGTGTGGGCTTCATTGTCATATACCATATTGTCAGACCGTTCCATTCTATCTCTAGTATAAGGCGATACTTTGCAAGTCAGCAGCTGATGTTTGAGGCTCTGCATGTCTTTAAATGTGACTCTCTTATATTCGACTGTTAAATGCTTCAACCGTGCTCTTTGTGCAAGACAATGAAAAACGTGAGTTGCATACAATCCATAGAGATACATAATTTTCCAGATAGATGTCTATTTCCCATGAATATTGTATTCTGTTGGTTTTCTATTTCATTTGTTGAATTTATTAGGCTTATTGACATGAGCTGTTTGCTGATGTTCTTACGTACTGGTTTCCTTTACCTTTGTTCTAAGGTCGTCCGAGGAAGTTATTAGCAGCTGTGGAAGAAGACCATGATGTAAGATTTGGTATTTTCTGATTTACTTCCAAGTAGTCCATTGATTATATTGTTACAGTGATGAAGATAACCATTTCAATAGTATTAGTAGTGCTAAAGAGTAAGATCAATAATGATGATGATGATATTGATTAAAATAAGGAAGAGTGTTGGATACTAGTACTGAGCTTCCTACAGTCGCTAGCAATAGCATCACCCAAGCCATCAACTGTAAGGAAGGAACAGCTGGGGAGTGTCTTTCTGCTGTTCAAAATAATAAAAAATTTGACTGAGTTGAGCAGAGGAACAACATATCCTCTTTTTTTTGGACTTTCAGAGGAGGAACAACATACCCAGCTCCACCCTTGACATTGGTTGGTAAGTGTGATGCTAATAAACTGAAGAAACTCAGGTGCTACCATTGCATATGAAGCCTTATAATAATGTCAAATTTGGCTTTTGTTTGAAGCTTTTTCTATTTTAATTTTCTATCAGATAATTAATTATTTTATACATTGGTTTTATGTTAATAACAGTTCTAAGCTTTTTGCAAGTACATATGTTTCTAAATTCAGATTAAATATTTTAAACATGGCAGGAAAATAACTTTTGAACTGTTTTCCATGGGGTAGGCTGTTACTTAACTCTGGTTAAGTTTACTATGAAAATATATGAGCCATTTTCTTTTTAGTGTTTCAGTTTGCGTTGTTCTTGCGTGCATGCATGTAACCTTTATTGGCACTCTGTCCTAGATTCATTTTCGAACTTTTGCCTCAGAATCTAAGTCCTCTTTTCTTTGCTTTGCAGGTCGTGGACAATAACCGTCTAACTACTAACCAAGAGGTTGTTGAATAACAGGTTTAAAGCATCCATCATTTTTTAGCTAATATCTTGGTAGTGATTGTAGAAGTACAGTCATAATAGGACTCGTAACGTGCATTTCATGTGTTAAAATGTCTATGAGACATAAGTTTGTAACATCTCACTATTTGTAACATCATTTGTAGTCAATCCATAAGCTACTCGGTTTGCAATTGTGTGGGAATATGTATCAACTGTGCACTTCATATCATACAACCTAAGTTCCCAAAATGTACGAAAATCTGCCCTAGTAGCCAGCTAGCTAATTTGTTTGCCGTTATGATTGTCAAAGGTCTTGAAGCATCTCTATGTTGGTGGGATAATATAGGGTCCATCTGCAACACAGTCTCTTTTAACTGTTGCAATTTAGTGGAATAAGCTTGGTGTATATGAGGTTCATATGCCATTTTGTATTTAATAGATTGAACTCTTTTTAATCATGCTAGAGGCTAGATCTAATGGTCAATAGTAGTTGGTTTCTTTAATGTTCTTGGTTATTATTACTGAATTTGGGTGGTGAAACCCAACATGGAAAGAAAAATCATGGTTTCATGATTAGCTGGGGTTTTTCATGAGATACAGTATCCTTTCGTGGCAAATTTCATCAGAGATTGAAAAATTATTGTGGGTTTCAGTTTTTCTTTTGCCATTTGTTTCAAGTTAATATAGGGTGTAATTTTGTTTCTTATGTGCGTATAAAGATTGCCAGTTCTCTCATATGACCGATGCACTCAAGTGGCTGTGTTGATTTTCTTATCCATATGCTTCTCTTTAGTAAGGATTGTTGTAGGCGATTTGCAAAGTCCTTAAGGCCTGTAGTTTGTGATTTGACAAGAGCTGTGGGCTTGTGAACCAGGATTTCGGGTCTCTCCGACCCATGAAGACTTATTCAACTAATGATGCAACCCTTCAGTTTGAATATTGGTACGATTGACTTCCCTTTCTCGTTTCCTACATTTCTAATGCTTTCCCATCTTTAAGTAGTTCTGTTTGGAACTTTGGATGGATTAACTACCTTTATGTAGTTGAATGCCATCAAAGCGGAGCATGCAGTTGGCCTTTTTATGTTTGTTTATTGACACAAGTGTTCCAAAATAGATATATGTAATTTTTTTTAAGATCATCTGTATCTAAACACATGTGGAAATGTACTCGTCTTATTTGGATGTATACTGTTAAATTTAAACGGCGCGTGCTATTGTTAATCTGGGCGCGTGTATATATGATGATATGGATTGGTTACCTCAACTTTTTTAGGGCCTTATGCAGGAATTCAACGTGACGTCATTCTATGAGTTCGGGCCATTTTATCCCTGCATTTGCACTCTCCCTTAATTTTATTTCTGTACCTTCTGTGGATATGTTTCCATGTCCATTGATTTGAAGCTGCTATTTCATTGTACAGACATCTCATTGATCCACCCGCCCCCCCCCCCCCCCAAAACAATTGTTGGGAATGTAGTGTGTCTTAGTTTTGATAAATGTAGCCGTCCCCAAGAAGCCAGCATTTCAATGGTTGACAAGATGTCTTCAAGATGGCAAACAAGTTGTACATAGACAATTGAAGGCTGTTGTTGATTGAAGAATCAAAGGTGCGCCAATTTGGAAGGAAAACAACAGAGAGAGAGATAAGAAAACTGGCCTGAATGTTGAGAGGGGTGAACCTTGGCAAGAGCCATCCTCACCAAGCTGGGGGTCTTTTATCAGCCAATGAGAGGAATTAGAGTAAGCTCAATGTGATTGTTACATAAATGTGAATAGTTGAAAATTGATTGAGCCATGCCTTTTTTATGGCCCGTTGTTTCTTGATTGGCTTTTCCTTTATTGAGTCTTGATTCCGTTGACTGTTGAGTGTGAAGCTGTGAATTCATGGCTTGGAGGCAGCCTTTCGGTCTGTATTTTCTTTCCTGATTTGCCTGGTTGGTATTTTCTTCTTTGGACTCTTCAGTCATGTTCTTTCTTTAGTGTTTTATCAATGAGTCTTTTTGTTTGGTGCCATATCAATGTGTCTATTATAAATTTTAGACGACTCAAAAAACAAAAAAAGAAGCAAAGCCAAAAGGTAGAGCATTATTTATCAAAAAGTAGAGGAAAAAAACAGAGCAATGGGTGGTCAGCTTGCCCAGGTCCCATCTGACGAGATTAATCTTAATTCGATGTAATTGTTTTTCTTTTTAGAATGTTAACTCGGTATGGAATTCTAGACGTTTGTGGCGCTTGCCACCCTGATTACTTGCTCTCCTAGAGCTGATGCCTGCCTAATTTTTTTTGGATGTAATTGTGGAAGTTACCTAAGAGATGTGCCCAAGTTCCTCAATCATCTCCCTTCTAAAATTCTGCAGCTATTAGTGTGGTCATAATATTTTTTGCATGTCTACTTGGAAGTGTCTTTATTTACAGGTGATCCTTTGTTTCCTTCGAATCTGAGTACCAACAATCAGGGTTCTAATGATATTTTTATGCCTTTTTCTCGATACTTGGGTAACATACAAAAAATGTTGTACGTGCTCTACTAAGAAAACATTAGAACTTTAAGAGGCAGGCTTAGAAGTTACTTGTATAGTGGGCTATCACTGGGTGTTCTACCTCCTTCCTAACAACCGACCACCTCCGACCACTTTATCTGAAGCAAT